CTTATTCGCGCTTAAGCTTGCTGATTTACGAATTCAGAAGTAACGTTCGCGCTTAAGCTTGCTGGAGCGCGCTTAAGCCTGCTCTTCGAATCTGAACTTCCTTCTTGGCTCGAGCTTAAGCCTGCTAAGGCTGAACCAATTTTTGCCTATACAAGAGGCCTTAGCTTGCTAATTGGGGGCTTAACCTTGCTTAGGCAGAGGCCATTTGCTGATTTTTGGAGGCTTTAGCTTGCTAATTGGGGCTTCAGCCTCCTCTCTACAACTTGGAAATCTTGATAAGATCTTCAAATCTTTTTGTTTTGCTCTCCATATATCTATATCTTCATCTTTGACTCCATTTGTCATCAAATCCCTTAAAAATAGCAAATGTAGTTTAATTAATTCATAATCAGATAATGTTTAGGATTTTATGTTAAAACCCTAGTTTTGACTTGTTCAACTTAATAATTTATATTAATTTAACCTATAAAAACAAGATAAACTAAAAGTTTATCAAACAATTCTCAGATTTGAACATTGTTGTCCTTAACAATTAACTAGAATAAAACTATGGGAAAGTTTGGAGACGGATAATCATGCTTAATGAATAACAGACAGAAACTGATCAATAATGAGATATCAAAGTATTCAAGTTTAATAGCAATGATACATCGAGTTCAAGCATACATTCACATGCACTAGTAATAAAATCATAACATGAGTTCTCAAAATAAAGAGTGGTAAATCCACAACACTCTCTAACTGGGGTTTTTATTTATTCGCTCACACTCAGTGTTTGAGGGTATTTGTTGCACTCTTACTTCTGAATGAATCACTACTATAGGCTTGTTTATATTCTCACTCTCCACAGTCTAATAAGTATACAAAGTCAATCAAGAGGTCTTTGTTAAGGTTGTAATGTGGCTTAGGTAAAAGAGAAGGAATCAACTGGGTAAGTGGCTTAAAATTACTGATCAAAATTCAATTTCAAAGAGGAAGTTATATATGACTATTCACATACCGTAAATAGATTTCTTATTAGCTTTCCCCTCTTCTTCTTTTTTTCACTTATTCAGATAACATGAGTCTTTTTCTTTCTTTTCCTTTTTTTTTCTTTTTCTGTTTTTGTACAGATACACATTTCAACCTTTTTCTTTTCATTTTTTATTTTTCAACCACTTTTGGCTTTCTTCTCTTTTCACCTTTTCTTCCCTGCACTAGAGTTTGATTTTTTTCTTTTTGTTCCAATCATACCTAGTTCCTCAGGTAAGGATGTGTATGGAATGGCTATTCATAATATACTGTCAATGAACAAACAGGCCTAGGCTCAAAGGGGCTTAACTAAGGATAAACATCAGGGTGGCTATTTGGCTATCTAGCTTTTAAAAGAACTGCCTCTATCATTTCAACAATTGTATATAACAGACCATCTCAAGGAGAAACAAAATAAGTTCTAGAGTGATTCATACAGTGAAGTTCACACCGCAAAAATTAATTTCCGTTTTGGCTCAATAGCTTACGGCTAAAGGTGTGAGACTTATTTTCCACTTTTTATTTGATCACTTTAGTTATTCTTCTCTTATTCTTGTGAACTATAAAGCATGCTTGACTGACGCTCATTTATATACGAAAATAAATTTTTACATCATTATACTCTTAATCTCAAATATCAAACAATTTCATGTGATCATTCACCATGCATACACATCAAGCCCAATGGAGAATTTTTAAAATTTCACTAAAATTTAATGATTGGGGATAGATGGGTTATTTAAAAACTAAATTTAAAATTTAAATTTTTTAAAGAAAACTAATATACTTGAAAACTTAAAAGCAAACTCATACTTAATCAAAATAATTTCTAACATAACTAATCCGAAATATTTAAAATCATATGAAAATAATATTGAGAAACTCCCCTGAATCACTGCATTTTTAATTTGGATATTTCTGTGTAATCCATGTAATCATGAGTTTCTCCTTCCAACCATGTGAAGTTTGTGGTCTGATGAATTGCGTGGTACCCATTCCCAAATTTAAATCTTGCTGTCCTCAGCAATAAATTTAAATCTAAAAATACTCTATAGCAAGAAATCGGAAAATTATAAAACTGTATTCTGCACACATGTCACAGATAAAGAAACTACATCAGCATGTCATATATCCAAAAAATATCATAGTCATGTCAGGATCAGTCTCAATATACATCCATGAACTAAAACTAACAGTAAAAACATCAAAATAAAAATGAAAACAAATTGTAAAGTCTGAAAACTGATATGAGGAATCAATCCTCCTCCATATCAGTAGTAGGTGCAGTGTCTTGAAAAATCAGAAAAATTCCCAAGTCAATATTCCTTCCACACAAAAAAAACAATTCCCAGATTTGGGTTCAGATGTAATCTGAAAATAATAATGAGTATATAGAACTGAGATATTTTAACAGCATGCATAATGTCAATGATGAGCGCGCTTAAGCCCCAATTTGGGCGCTTAAGCGCGCACTGCGAAATGAATTTTTTAACTGTGGAGCGCGCTTAAGCGCGATCCAACAAGCTTAAACGCTCTGAGGCCGAAGGGTATTGTACCTTAGGGGGCTTAAGCCTCCTTTAAAAGGGCTTAAGCCTTCTATACTTAGAAAATTTTCTCAACTTTTTTCTTCTATCCCCTGTATTTTAAACTGAATAATATGTTTATCATTATACTTAAGATTTAGTTCTGAAACATATGCAATATATAAAAAAATCTCAAATGGGAAACATCGTACCTGCGTGCTTTATTCCTCATCCACCTGAAATTCATCTCAATATAGATTGCTCATCAATCTCAATATCCTTATTTTTGTATTTTTTCTATAACTAAGAACTAAAAATTTAAACTTACCTAAATTAAAAATTAAAACCAGACTTAAAACTGAAAATTAAACTAAACTAAATACTGAAAACTTAAATACTGAAAACTTAATTACTGAAAACTTAAATACTGAAAACTTAAATTCTGAAAACTTAAATGTTGTTGGGTTGCCTCCCACAAGCGCTTGTTTTACGTCACGAGCCTGACGTACCTCTTTTACTTTCATGATGACTCAAAGCATGAGCTTAGTGATGACCAAGCTCCATCATTCAGAACTTGTGCCCTCCCATAGTGTTCTGTTGCATATGAGTGAGATACAATAGCCTCAATAATTTTGAATTTGGCATTTACATGTTTTCCTTTGCTTCTGAGCTTCTTCATTTTAACCTTTGGCTTACCTTCTTGAGGAGAATTCTCTTTGTGCTCTTCTTCTCCTTTCTTTTTAGTGATATAGTAGATTTGATCTTCCTGTTGAGTTATAGGTGAGGGGACTTCTTTGTCAAAGAACTTGAAAATTGCTTGCTCCCCGTCTACTCGTAAGATCAACTCGCCTTTCGGTACATCAACCAGCGCTCCTGAGGTTGCCAAGAAAGGTCTTCTGAAGATCATAGGAATAATAGAATTTTTCTCTATATCAAGGATGACAAAATCAACAGGAATGATGAATTTGTCAACCTTTACCAGTATGTCCTCAATGATGCCATAAGCTTGTTTTGTAGAGCGGTCAGCCAGTTGCACTATTGTCTTGGTTGGCTTTACTTCAGTGATCTTCATTTTCTTCATCATAGATAGTGGCATCACGTTAATGCTGGCACCGAGATCACATAGAACATTTTCCACTTCCACATTGCCTATGTTGCATGAAATGCTGAATCTTTCTGGATCTTTAAGCTTTGGAGGCAACTTTTCTGGATAATGGCACTGTATTCCTCTTTAGAGTCACCGTCTCACATTCCTGCAGTTTACGTTTTCTTGACAGTAGATCTTTCATGAACTTCACGTAATTGGGCATGTTCTCCAAGGCTTCAGCAAACGAGATATTGATTTGCAGCTTCTTGAAAATATCAAGGAACCTGGAGTACTGTTGCTTTTGAATTTCTTGTCTGTACCTCTGTGGATATGGAATCTTTGCATAAGGTGAGAGCTCCAATGGCTTTTCTTGCCTTTCTTGAGCTTTCGTTTTCTCCCATTTGAACTCTTTCTTTTCAGGAACAGTTTTCTCTGCAACATATTCTTTAGCAACTTCCTATTCTTTTTCCTTTTCAGTTGCAGGTTCATCATCTTTATTTTTCTCAACTGAAGGCTTGACCACAGGTTTAATGGCTTTCTCACTCATAGTAGTAATTGCATTGCAGTGTTCCCTACTTGGATTTGGAATAGTGTTACTTGGAAAAGTTCCGTGAACTCCTTCAGTGAACTGTCTTGACAGCTGGCCAATCTGAGTTTCAAGATTCCGGATAGAAGGTTCTTGGTTCCGGAACGAGGCCCTTGTCTCGTCTCTGAAGGCATTAGCATTTTCAATATAATCTAACGTGGTCTTGGATAGCTGTGCAAAGGCCTTCTCCCATTCTGATTGTTATGGAGGTTGCTGTTGTACTGGCATATGAGGATTCAGCTGATGGTTCGAACTGTAACTCAATCCTGGGTGTTGATTTTGATTTTTATTTCTCCACCCTTGATTCTGGTTATTACCGTATTGGTTCCTCCCCGGATTATATTGAGCCTTTTGATCATGCCAGATTCCATTAACTTCAGCATTTTCAGTTGTCCTATTGTAATCACAGTCTTCGGTATGATGAGTACCTGCACATATACCACAAGTGATAAAATGAATATTAACAGAAGATACTTGAGTATTAACAGAAGAAACTTGAAATTCAGAAAACTGCTTTGCGAGAGCATCTAGCTGTTGTTGCTGTTTCTTGTTGGATTGTAACATCTGCTCGTTCTGGGATAATATGACATCATAGCCTTCTAGCTTCATAATCCCTGCTCTCCTTTGTGATACTGGAGCATTATCAAACTCTTGAGATGTTAAAGATTCTAGCAATTCCCAAGCTTCTTCGGGAGTTTTCGTTTCCAACGATCCTCCTACTGCAGCGTTCACTAAAGTTCTGGTGTTCGACATCATTCCTTGAAAGAAAATTCTCGCTTTATCCCAAGCTTCAATATCGTGTTGTGGACATTTTCTGAATAGTCCCTTGAATCTTTCCCATGCTTCATATAAAGACTCACTTTTTTTTTTTTTCAAAAGAAGTGATATCCGCCTTGAGTTTCACCATTTTCGAAGATGAGAAAAATCTGGCTAAGAACTTTGTAGCTAAGTCATCCCAGTAGGTGATACTTCCTTCAGGTAGTGAATGTAGCCAAGCTTTTGCTTCTTCCTTCAGTGAACATGGAAAAAGTCTAAGCAAGATGGCGTCCCGACAGACTCCATTCATTTTCAGCGTGTCAAAGTAAAATAGGAAATCTTCCAGATGACTGTAGGGGTCTTCCGTGCTTCCTCCGGCAAATTGGTCCTTCTGAATCAATTGCAACAATGTCGGCTTCAGTTCAAAGTTGTTAGCATCCACTTGTGGCCTAACAATGCTTGCTGTCTGTGGAACTCGAGCAGGAATCATATAATCTCCCAATGTTCTTGGAGGTGGTGGAACTCCATTTTCTGCCATCGCTACTTCTCTTGGTTCTGTTGAGCTTGAAGCTTCTTTCTCTTGCTGCCTTCTTTCTTTAGCAAGCTTTTTGTTTCTTTTTGCTGTTTTCTCTATCTCCGGGTCGAATAGCAAGGAATCGGTGTCAACGGTACCTCGCATAAACCAGAAAACAAATTATATAAAAAATAAAAACTGAATTTAAATAAGGGGGCGTTTGTTATTGGGTTTATTTTCGATTTCCCGGGAAAGCATGTTTAGATAAATACCAAATCCATGTTTGGTAGAGCAAAAAAGAAAAAATTCCAGACACCAAACGTTTCCGGGAAAATCAAGTTATGTGCAATTTGTTGCACAGTATCCAAAAGTAAAATGCCATAAATTGGATGGAATGTTTTGTTGTCCGGGAAACTAGAGATTGAGGTGTCAATTAATAGACAAAATTAACCTTTATAAAAGCAGTAAACAGATTGGTACAATTTAAAGTGGGGTTATTTTTGTAAAATAACCTCACTTTCCCACTAATATTTCACAACCAACCAAACACACACTTAGTAAAGTAAACCATAAAATCCCAAGAAAATTTTAACATACCAAACATCTTTTATTAACATTCCAGACTAAATATATTTCATACTACATTTCAGTAATAATTATTTCCCGGATTTTAAAAAATTTCTCCTATACCAAACGCCCCCTGACAGAAAATAAGGTCCAATCTAAAGAATTAATAGTTACTATTTTAAGTAATAATCCCCGGCAACGGCGCCAAAAACTTGTTGCTACTCACGACAAGTGCACCGATCGTACAAGTAATATAATGATTGAATAAGAGATCGTTCCCACGAGGATTATACTCAAGTTATCGCAAACTTAGTTGGACAATCGAAATTGTATTTGGAACGGAATTTGAATTTAAAATTTAAAAGACGAAACTAATTATTCGCAAGAATTAAAGGCAAGAAATTAAAGACAAGAATTTAAAGATTTGAAACGAACGTAGCTAAGGGTTCGATTTCCTTTAATCTCTTTATTACGGGTGAATTCCTTCTTAATGTTAATCGTCCTTAGTATCAATCAAATCAATTCTTTCGCATGTAATTAGGGCTCAATCCCTTGTTACCCTAAACCTTCACAATCTTGGAAGAACCCTAGTTCCCCGATTATTCGATCCCCAAGAACATGAGCATTAAGTTCAAGAATCTTAAAGATTACACAAACCCTATGTCTATCCCTAGAATCATAAAGCGTACGATGAAATTATCAGATAAAGATCACACACCAACATTCCTATTGTCATGCATTTACCTATGATCATTATATAAGATTCAAGTCTATATAAAACATTAAAAACAGATAATTTCATTCATGATATAAAGGAAAATTAACATACGAATTGTTCAACGCGTAATAAATCGATTAAATTCCATCTAACCCTAACTACTTAAAAGACTTAGCCAGACATAGCAATATCAGGAAAGAAAGACAATATAAAAGCTCCCCCAAACTCCATAAATGATTGGTGAATCTTCAATATCCCCAGTGCAGACTTGATGTTGATCCGTCTCCGCCGCTCACGAACATGAACAGAGTGTTTCTCCGCATTCTGTTTGCCTCAAAGCACCAAAGACTCTCTTAGAATGTGAAAAGTTTTTGATTCTGAACCCCAAATGTGTTTTTAAGGGTAAAGAATTTGTGCCCTAAGTAGATTCCTCAAGTGGACTTAAGTTGGATCTTTCAGGGGCTTAAGCTTGCTCATTCGCGCTTAAGCTTGCTGATTTACGAATTCAGAAGTAAAGTTCGCGCTTAAGCTTGCTGGAGCGAGCTTAAGCCTGCTGGAGCGAGCTTAAGCCTGCTCTTCGAATCTGAAATTCCTTCTTGGCTCGAGCTTAAGCTTGCTCCAGCAGGCTTAAGCGTGCTAAGGCCGAACCAATTTTTGCCTATACAGGAGGCTTTAGCTTGCTAATTGGGGGCTTAAGCTTTCTTAGGCAGAGGCCATTTGCTGATTTTTGGAGGCTTTAGCTTGCTAATTGGGGCTTAAGCCTCCTCTCTAACAACTTGGGAATCTTGATAAGATCTTCAAATCTTTTTGTTTTGCTCTCCATCTATCCATATCTTCATCTTTGACTCCATTTGTCATCAAATCCCTTTAAAATAGCAAATGTAGTTTAATTAATTCATAATCAGATAATGTTCATGATTTTATGTTAAAACCCTAGGTTTGATGAATAAAATGATACAAGAGAACTGCTATATATAATAGTTGATAAACTGAGAAGAACAGAAATAACTGTCTTTAACTAACTATTACTAATCATTATCTATTAAGAAAGGTTGTAGATTATTGGATTGCTGAGATAAGAAGCTAATGGCAAGATGGTTTATCTTGATCGCCTTGGTACAATTTGAGGAGACTGGAGGGTCCTTGCAACTTGCAAGGAACTCTGAAACTCAAGTCAGTTCAAATTTTAATATAGTTTAAGTATTCAAGAAAAGATGATCTACCTGGGTTGTAGGTTTGTGTATTTATAATGAATGTATGCCTTGCTTCATGCCATCTTTCTATGAAGGTATTAACTCCTATTGGTGGAGCATAGTGGCCTTTCTCTGGCTATTCCTTGGACGAGATGCCTATAGTTAGGCTAGCCCTAGGAGACGTTATTGAGTTTCTATCTCGCCAGATTTGTTGTCTTACAGGCCAAGTCTATTGTCTGTCATCCAAGTTGGTGAGATGCCCAGAGTTTATACGTGGCATGAACTCGTTTCATTCAAAGTTAAGTTATGGTTGTTGGGCCTTTTAGGCTTCTATTAGTTTGGGCTTTCATCTCACAAATATGAGATCCAGATCAACTACCTTAATGTCACCACATAACTTACACACCCTAAACCCAACTATAATAATTACTATTGTATCATTCAAATGATAAATTAAATAAATAAGTTAACGAAGTCTCACTTGAAATAGAACTTGCATCGAGAGAAATTGCATAGAGAATTTGTAGAAGGTGAAAATTTAGAGAGGAAAAAATGGGGTAGAATGAGAAAATTTTAGGAATATATATGCAGATGTCACACAAAAATATACGAGACTAGCCTCGCGTTTTTTATGTGGGACTGTCACACTAATAATATGTCTAGTATTTAAAATATGCAATACCAATCTCACTCAGCAAACTGCATTATGTGGATAATCTTTTTAAAAAGTGTATTATTCGGTCAATTTTGTTAAGACCGCATAACTACGGTTAAAAAGCCAACCCTTGTAGTCAAGGGATTAAAGGAGTAGTGTTCTCAATGGGGCCTTTTAAAGCGCCTGGTGTTGATGGTCTTCATAGCATATTTTTTCAAAGCCAATGGGATGTAGTGGAGAGCTCTGTTTGTAATTTCATTAAGGGAGTCTTCAATGATCCTAGTCGTATAGAAGAAGTGAATCAGACTCTTCTTTGCTTGATTCCTAAACTTGAGAATCCTCATACTTTCAAGGATTTTCGTCCGATTAGCTTGTGTAATGTTATTTATAAAACGGTAACAAAAATTGTTGCTAACCGTTTAAAATTGCAGATGGACAAGCTGGTGATGCCTAATCAGTGCAGTTTTATCAGAGGTAGACAAGGTACGAATAATGTCATAATTGCTCAAGAGCTAATCCATTCAATGAGGAAAAAGAGAGGATCTAAAGGTTGGATGGCGATCAAGGTTGATCTTGAGAAAGCATACGATAGGATCAGTTAGAATTTCCTTCACGATACCCTATATGATGTAGGGCTTCCTGAAAATTTGATAAGACTAATTATGTTGTGTGTTTCATCTTGCACTATGAATGTTCTTTGGAATGGGGCTTGTACTAAAGAATTTCGGCCAACTAGAGGCTTAAGACAAGGAGATCCTCTTTCTCCTTATCTTTTTGTCCTCTGCATGGAAAGACTAGCCCATCTCATTTCTCAGGCAGTGGATCACAAGAGGTGGAAGCCAGTGAGGATTAAAAGGGGAGCTCCACAAATTTCCCACTTATTTTTTGCTGACGATCTCCTTTTGTTTGCAGAAGCTTCTCAGGAGCAAGTGTTAATAATTCAACAGGCCTTACATATATTTTGTGATTCATCTGGTCAAAAAGTCAATCATAGTAAGACTAGAGTTTTCTTTTCTCAGAATGTGGGTCATACTCAAGCAAACCATCTTAGTGGGCTTCTTGGTTTTTCTTTGACTGCGGATCTTGGAAGATACTTGGGAATTCCTTTGCATCATAAGCGAGTGGGTCAGTCATCTTTCTCTTATGTTTTGGATCGAATGAATTCTAGAATTGCTGCTTGGAATCATGCTAGTCTATCTCTAGCAGGTCGTGTTACATTATCTAAAGCAGTGTTATTAGCAATCCCATCATATCCAATGCAGGTGTGTTCATTACCGCAAGTCACCTGTGAAGAGATTGATAGGAAGATTCAAAATTTTGTTTGGGGTTCATCTCCACACTCTAGACGTTCTCGTCTTGTGGCCTGTAAGCAGATTTGCATGGATAAAAAAAATGGAGGCCTTGGACTGCGGAGTATGAGGGAAATGAACTCAGCATTTATCATGAAGGTTGGGTTCAACCTCGTAGCTCATCCAGATGCCTTGTGGTCAAAGTTCTT